AAAGTTTATAAAAACGAGACAGTGCTGTTAAATGATTTAGCTAACTCGATATGAACCTAATTCATTTACTGAAATACGAAGTTGGTGCACTAGTTTTCATATTTTAGCAATATTTTAGTTAGAATGATTATCTCATGAGTATCCATATATATATTTTTGTATTTTGCATGTATTTTCATTGCCCGCGTGGCGCAGTAGTGGTGTTTGTTTTAAGAGTTGCGAAGTACCTAATAAGTTCATCCTTAAGACGGGGGTTCGAATCCACTGCGGGACGTGGAGATTCTTCGGATGAGACCGCATAAACGGGGCTCCCTTGTTGCAGTAGGGTAATAAGTACTGGCATTTAAAAGATACCTCACTGCACCATGATTCTAGGTGCCAAGCATAGCCCTCCACCTGCAAATGTTAATGTTTCCATGTGAGTGAAAACTCTAGAAAGGAACGTTAACAACAAACAAAACACATAAACATATATTAATATTTGCAGAATATTTTGGCATTTTATAATCAATCTGCTTTTTCAAAATAGATATAAATTCTTTTGACATTTGTATAAAAAATCTAGTATACGTCAAGGGAGGTTGTCAATTATTTCATTTTAAAAGAAAAAAGATCTCGAGTTTCCTCGGTCACAGGTGTTGACTCTTTTACTTGGATAATGCATTTTATCTCATGAAATCAAACACAATCTCATTACTTCCTAATAAGGGGCATCTTAGCGGTACTGTGGTTTCTTTTCAAATTTCCAAAAATCCTTGCCCTCCATTTAAAAACTACAAGAAAGAAGTTATTGAAGTTATTGAAAATCCATTTCCATCTGTGTTGTGTGTTTGTTAAGACAACCTGTTGCCAGTGAATCCTTTACAAGTGGCGTAACGTAATATTTACGCGTTGGTGAGATTTACGTCCGAGTGCTAGTTGTTAATGGGAAACTGAACAATATGAGATATCTGTTCATTTCATTTGTAAAATCAAATCGGAATTCATAGAAACATTATGAAATCAATTTTCGTCTGCTGAATTTGTCGTCCCTTTCTAAGAAAACACGTGCATCGAACTTGTCGCGCGCGCGTGTGGCAGACTCCGTGTTCTTTTTCGGCTTCACAGAATGAAAGTAATACTTTATGATTCAAGAATATAAATAACAGAGTCGTCAGCCTGATTGAATCCTGTCTGACTTCAAAGTTGTCTAGAAATTAAATTATCCTATTCTAGGCTAAGTAATGGATTAATTTTGAAAGGGGTTGGGGCATCGTCGCAAACCAAGGGTTTTGTATCCATTCTATTCCCACAATTTGTGGGAGTATAATGGACACAAATCCCAAGGCTTGCGACGATGGGGTTGAGGCAGAGTCAAAAGCTCCTCATAATCAAGGTTTGTCTGATGGTTTGTCTGTAGATGCTTGTTGTGGCTTTTATACAGATCTGACTTCTCCAGAACCATAAAACCATGCAATACCAGACAAACGGTTAAACGTGCCACAATGTATATTTATGTATCATTGAATTGTAGAGAATTTTGAATGATTAGAATAAAAATGAAAAATGAGGGGGGGGGGTATTTTCATAAACAACAGGAAAACAATTCAAAATTGTTGAAAGCGGGTTCTCGTGGTCTTAGATATAGAGTGGTCAAAGTTTATCAAAAAAAAATATATTAAACTGACTCTCTATAATATTAACAACAACAAAAAGAGACTGTACAACTTACGAGGCATTTTCGTGGAGCGTAGATTATTTTTTATTTCAAAATTTGCAAACGGGGCCAGGATTTGCATAATGATAATTTATTTACTTTGTTTTACATGAAATTTATGTAATCTTTTTCCTATAAGATCAACAATACTGTAATCTTGATATGAAGCCTATAATTATAAAAATACTTACTAGTATTCAAAGTATAAGGTATTTGATAAATGATTCAACATAGAACCGCTTTCTGTCTTACACATCATTTTCTTTTATCTATTTATCGACCCCAGATGAACTCTAGAGGAGAACATGAATACATCTGACACCCTGGTTTGTAATGATAGGAATTGATTTATCAATCGTAGGCGGTGGTTAATAAAATTTACGTAAGCCTTATACATATTGAATGCAAGATGTTCCAAACAAAACAGGTTTAGAATACAATAAAAATTGTACTTGAACACAATTTAGATGGCAATTGAATGACATTTCATCACCACGAAAATTTCTTCGTCTACAGTATATTTCTGTAAACTTGTATTTTTTTAATTCGATTTTTTGTTAATCATAAATTGTCTGTAAATATGATTTTTTTGGAAAGAGGGGGGATTATATTTGTTTTCAATGATAATCCTTGTCAATTTGCATGTTTCGTTGTACCTTGACACATGAATTAGCACCAGATTGTAATTTCAGGCGGGAACGTGCGGGTTGCTCCGCTAATTAAGGAACGGGTGTACCGCAATTGGTTGCGCGTGCGGTGGATGTGTCACTCGCGTGCGAAATGAAACATACACCCTTCAAGATTTTTTATTGCAGCTTTCCAGGGAGGTGGCCTTTGTTTGACTCCATGTGAATTTTATCAAATATGATGCTTAAATGAATTTAATATTGCAGAAAAACGGGGCAATTATACAAGGAACTTTCGATTTCAAGGATTTCGTTTTTTTTTTCAAAGTTTATTGGAAAACATACATATAGTTCTCAGATCATCATTAACATTCATATATGTATTCAAATCTTAAAATCAAATAAAAATCAACGTATTCATATTTCTATATTGAGATTTAGATACAAGTTAAATTTGTTACCTTTTGAATTATGTAAAAAAAAAAAAAAAAAAAAAAAAAAAAAATCTGCATTAAACAGAAAGGAAAATTGCATGTATTCAGATGTGTGGTAGTCAAAAATGTATCCAGCTATGTCCTTGATATCAAACATTTGCAAAATTTTTACACGATATAATATACAACTCATTTGTTAATACTAAATGAAACCTAAAAAGATTTATTTATTATTTGTTTAATATAAAAAAAATGAAATGAAGAAAAGGACATGAAATAAGGTGTGTGACATCAAGTATATGAATAATATCTGTACGGCATTACTTTAAAAAGCGGGAAAAACATCAAACGATATAAAATATACAAAACAGGTGAATCTTTGGTCTAAAATCCAATTGTTCACGTGTCAATGAAACAGGTGAAAAATGGCGCAGAGTCAGTCCAGCGTGGAATCAGTTCCCGGCAGGTGCTGGCACAGGAATGCGATCCCGACGTGTGCCCAAAATCACTGTCTCCCGTTCATTATCGAAACCAACAATCTTTATTGCTTATACCTGTCTGATAAAAAAAACTTCAGGGTGCAATAAAATAAAAAAAAAAATGATGATTAAGAATGACTTAAGTATATAATGCTTATATCGCGGTGCTTGATGATACTTAAATTACAAAATTTTACTGCTTTTATCTATAAATTTATTTTTCATTTTAATTTTTTTAATTTTTGTTTATAGAACAATGAAAGAAATCATATAAAATTTAAAGCTGATTTAGAAAAAAAAAATCATTGTTATTTTGCATAAGTATTTTAGAATTAAAAAACAGTTTCTTTTTTAAAGTTCTTTGAAAAAAAAGGTCCTAGGCCAAAAATGTATAATTAACACTTAATAAATGTATAAGACTTTAAAATACATTTATATAGAATATATAAAAAGTACATGCATGTTGTGACTATTTTTAACAGTTTCGTATCTTGTCACCTTTACTTGGCTTTGTTTCAGCTACTTCAACAGTTGTGAAACCGTAACATCCCAGCAGGGAAGAAAAGTTCCAGACACGTGTGTCGATTACTTCCGTTAAAACCAAGACTTTTTCACACAAAAATATAGTAATACGAATAAATCTACTTAGCAATTCACACTTTTCAGTGTCAATGAAATCATGAAAAAATCTTCATGCGAAGGCGTTTTTAGTTTACACAAGAATTATGTTCTTAAAGATTGATCTTGCATTTAAAATAGCTGTTCATGGGTTCTTTTTGTTCTTTTGAAAGACTACATTTCATATGCACATGTTCAGGAAAGGGAAGGGAAAGAATACATATTTGAAATAATGTGTAAAAAATGTTTTAAAATTACAATTTTGTTTTGTTTTGTGAATTAATGATATATTATATGAAAAAGATGAATATAGATAATGAAGTCATTTAAATTATGTGCATCATTATTAAATGATATTCAAAATGATCTTAACAGAGAAACTTTCGAACTTGAGGTCATTTTTCCTTAAGCTGGGCAATAAGAATACATTTGTTCAGAAAATAATCTTAAAATCGCTTTGAAGCCTGAGAAGTATAGAAAATATACAGGTACTTTGTAGAGTTTACTTGAATCCAACACTAAGTCAATAAAACCGACCGCTACTATAACTAATTGGCAATATTTGTTACGATTTAATTTCCTATATGCCGCTTGAAATTTTAAATTCCTTTTCAATACAAATATTGCCCCCAAGACTTCTGAAGTGACTTTAAATTTCGCAAAAATAATATATCACTTGAAACCAGAAATATGCTCTTTCTATATTTCGAACAACAATAGCGGATTAAAGCTATCTTAACATGAAGAGGTAGTTCTTAATATTTGGAGGAGCAATTAATTTGAATCGAACAAGATGGCTTGGCAGGTCTTTTTAAATACGAAGGGGTGGACAAAATACGTCGAGCAAACACAAATTTCAATGGAACACTTGTTATTTCAACAAGACAGTCATGCGGACGTTTACTTTCCATCAGACTTGGCATGAATTTCAACACCTTGTCGTCTGTTTCTCCCGGAAGTTGCTAATTTCTAACACGTGGATTCCGTGTAGAAAATAGGAAAAGAAAACAGTAGGATTCTGTCGTCGACACTTTGTTGTTTCTTTGTTTTTATTTACCACACGTCTTTATTTAATTAGTTGAGCCCCCATATCTTCAAATATATATTTATTTTCCCCCTTACATCAAACCTCAATGCAAATGTAAGTTGCATAAAAATAAAAACAAAAAGTTCAGGTACTTAAATAAATCATACTCTTGTTGTTTTCAAACTTCGAGGGAATTCTTTAAGGCACTGGTTTTAACACCTGTTACCCTTTCTAGAGAGCATATTTATTCAGATTGGTTCAAGAAAGATATGGGGCGGAGCTTTGTAATTTGATTGGTTCAAGTGATATAAACCTTTCTGAAATCACGCTCTGTGATTGGCAGAGACTAAATATGATTTCTTAAGAATCAAACGTGGATATGGTATTTTTATCGAAAGGAGGAACATGATTTAAAAACGAAACTCGAGAAAATAAAGTTTCGGTTCATTCGGCGTCCACAAAGTCACTGAAGCCACGAATTCATGCATGTCCCCAGAAAAAAAAAATCGGGTTAAAAAATTTAAAAGCGATAGGGGAACTGTCTAGGAATGGTTAAGCATCCCTGATTTTACGAAGCTTGAAGAGTTTTAAATTCCCATACTTTTTTAAAAAAAATCATTTTACCGGTGAAAAATGAATGTTTGCGAAACTGGACAAGGCAACAAGGACTTGAGCAGCAAGCCTGCTGTGGATACAACTATCCTCAGGATACCTAAGGAGAGGGATAGTCTACACAAGTTCGCCATCCGGGAGATGCTGGGAATCTCAGATGACGAAACAGAACGATCAAAACCCCAAAGCAGAAGCGAATCAGAAGTCACCAAATTAGATGAAAATTGCAACAACTTGGCAGGAAAAGGTACGAGAAAGCCTTTTTTGAAAATAACTTTAATTATTAATTAAGGATTTTTATTGATTTACAATCTGTGTTGTCATGCATGATTTTTAGTGGTTAATTTGCACTATTTTTATCTATTACCTTGTGATATTTTTTCCTTTTAAAAAATTAAAGTGTATGGATATTTGAAAAATTCAATTAGCTATAAAATATTTGTATGAACTATATTCATTAACCCCAAACGAAAATAATGTCAAAACCATTTTGAAAGATGTTAGAATCGGACTATCATTGGGTTTTTTTAGGTGAAAAAAAATGTATTTACTAAAGGTCTAAGACAGACCTTGCGCTAGCCTTATTTTATAAATTATAAAGGGTTACATATGGAATGCTTTAAAGGCAAAATAAAGTAAAAATAACTATCCACTTGAAATGAAATTTGCGAACAGGTGTATCAGTTTTATTATGCTATTGTGGTCAAAAGTGTCTGGTGCGTCGCATCTTACAAGCAATCAACCCTCGGGGGGCAAGGGTGGTTCTCCTGTTCTCCAGTTTTAAACGATACAATTACAAAAGTGAAAATAAGCGTTTAAATACAATGAAACAGGTGAAAATAACAAGTGTTTTGATACAACAGAAATGGTGAAAATAAGAGTTTTATATGTGTACAGATGTCCGTTCATTTGAGAGATAATAAAAGGCATAAATGGACAGAAATAGATTTTGAAACTTTATTTTTAAATAACGCCTAGGATATTCTTTTTTTTTTTAGGTTCCAATATTAAACATTCTTTTTAATAAACTTTTGCAATCTTTAACTTTTTAAATATATTTTTTACAGAGAGAAGATCCCCAGCAGCCACAAGCTCTCGAAACTCTTCTCCGCAAAATGTCAGCCTGTCCAGCCCCGGTTTACCGAGCGAGCAGCATGACAGACTAGTCAACTCTCGGACCTCTAGTAGCCCGCTGGGATTTCCGCCTCACATTCCATACGATTTCCCGTGGCCCGGTCCGTTATTCCGTGGGATGGCTCCTCATTTTTCACCCTACCTTCCGTTTGGTATGCCGATCCCTGGATTTACTCCAGGTTTCCCGCCATTACATCCTGTAACTTCAGAGCATCAATTTCCTTTAACGGCATTAAGTGATCCATTTTTAGCATTCAGTGCCATGCGCCATGCTTTCCCGCAGTCACGGTCATTGGCCAGTGCGCATCTTCCATATCCTAAACCTGTCTCAAAATCATTGAAAACTGAGAACAGCGAGGAAAATGATTCTAAGATAATGACTTCAGCGTTTGACCCTGTGGTTTCTAAATACAGTAATTTGGGAGAGAGCTCAATGTTCGAACTCGATTTGTCTGTCTCTGGAAAGAGAAAGGAGAGGGATGGAGAGACAATGCGATACCATTGCGATGGATGTACTAAAGTGTACGCTACATTTAGTGGACTTACAAAACACAAACAGTTCCATTGTGCCAGTCAAGTCAAAAAAGAGTTCAGTTGCAAATACTGTGATAAGACGTATGTGTCTCTTGGAGCCCTGAAAATGCATATTAGAACACATACTTTGCCCTGCAAATGCAAACTCTGCGGAAAAGCATTTTCGCGCCCATGGTTACTTCAAGGTCATATTCGAACACACACGGGAGAGAAACCTTTCAGGTGTGACCATTGTGCACGTGCGTTTGCAGACCGCTCCAATCTTCGCGCGCATCTCCAAACTCATTCCGACATCAAAAAGTACAGTTGCAAATCCTGCTGCAAAACATTTTCGCGCATGTCTCTTCTGTTAAAACATGAAGATGGCTGCTGTAGTAAGCCTTTATTAGTGTAATATAAGTGTAAAATTAGTGTAATCCAGGTGTTCTTTCGGTGTCTAGTCATTATAAGCGGGTTTTGTGTGCATTTTTTTGAGTGCTAATTGGTTTTGAACTCTTATATTCCACTTGATTTGTTGTATGATATGCCTATTAAATTATTGAAATATTTAAATTCAGACCTTTGTTCTGTTATCATTAAAGAAAGTGTGTATTGAATTTGTAGATAATAATGACCTCTGTAAATATTCTTATTTGCGCGTATTTTAAGTGGTTTGTCATGACAGATAGCTAGCTTAATCTAAATTGGACAGATGACCTGGTATCACCTTTAAAAACTAACTGAAGTCTGTGCTATTTCATTGCATGCATCCGGCTGATTAAAATATTAGATGATTTCTTATTCAACTTATATCAAACATTTTTTTTATCTGGGACCTACAACTAGTCGAGAGAAAAATGTCATGCATTGAATTAGTTCTTTGAAATATCATTAGCTAAATAGGCCACTTCACGGCAGGTGCGAACTGCAGGTGTAATTTAAAAGTGGTCTTCCTTACTTTCTCCCCGTACGACAGGTGATTTTTACCTTCTATATAAAGGGCTGGAGGGAAAAGTTTACGTTAATTAAATAAATTACGCACCTTACCCCTCCCTCTTCACATTGGACTGAAAGACATAAACCACTCCGAATAGAGATATTGTATTTGTAATTCACCTGCTCCCCTCACAGAGACGTATACTTAAAGCGAATGAAATCGCTGACACGTTTAAGCAAGTCATTATCTGTCTTGCCATTTGTCCCCATATCAGGGTTTCATCAAATAAAACCCCCAGCATTAATATTCCACAATTGCCTTGACACCATGCACAAGACAAAATAGATTCGGGATTCAGTTGCCCCGCGCGGGTGGGAAATGCCACGCGAGCAGTTTTGTTTGCAGACGATTAAGGTCGCGTGGAAGCAACCAAGTGAATCCATCTACATCCTAATATAGCACATCATTTGCATACAACGATGCTGTAGTTTAAAAACTAAAAGCATTTCTTTTTTTTTGAAAATTATGTAAAGTATTTTGAATATTTCAAATGCAAAATTTAAGACCACATCACATAATTTTCCTCGAAGATGTTTTAAAATAATAAAATTTAAAAAATATATATTGTGAAATATATTTTCCTTATTTTGTGAAAAAAAATACATCGACCTTTAAGTAACTAAAGGGGTGACAAAATTGTACTGACTTATTCTATTTCCTTACAATGGTGTAATACCGCCCTTTAGAATATTTTTGGTATTCCTTATAATGCAAAATTTGTACAGGACAATTTTAAAATGAAATGATAATTTTTGTAATGAACAATACTGAGGGATTAATTTAAAGCTATATGTAGTTTGATCTTTACTTTTCATACAAACACCTGACAAACTTATCAGGATTTACATCCTCTCAATTTTAACTTAAATATCTATAAAAACAAGGCGAGAATTATACTAAAACACGAGAAAATATTGACATCTTCTCCAAATCTTCGGACTGGCAGGTGCGACGTGATTTGGAATCATACGATGGGTTCTCGCACCTGCTTTTTACTCGCCAAAAGTGTTGATTTTGGGGATCTATGCGGGAGGGTTAAAGGTGAAGGGGATACTTGTCCACAATTTCACGTAAACGTCATTGGGAAATAGATGACTTCTAAGTGGTCCGTAACAAAAGCTAACAAGGACTATTAGCACAACACACAATTGACGGATTGGTGTGTTAAAATTCAAAATTGAAATCGAGAAAAGTGCCCTGGAATGTTAGACACCTGCAGTTATATGAATAATGCTTAATTAGTTTAAAGTATTTGTCCGTCTTGTTTGAAGATTCTCGGCGCAAGTCACGGAAGACTATTGGAAGCAATCGATAAAACGATAGAATACAAAAGAGACAAGAAAATGTACAAATAAATCGTAAAACGTTCACATTTACACAAAATCGACGGATGCTTTAGGAACAAATGATTATTTTACAAATTTATATACATGTACTTCATATTACAGGTCGACATTTGAAAATTTAGCCACTTTGATATGAACTATGTACCGGCAATTGGATAACTCTCTCTCTCTCTCTCTCTCTCAATAAGCATCTTATTTTCAATGCAATTGAAAAAATTACTTTTTTCTAAAGATACAGGTGTACTTTTGTGATATCGGTGAATTGTATTTGATATTGTATACAGAGTCGAAGAAAGCTTGTCTAAGGGATTAAATTTTCTTTTCATTTGAGGACACAAGTCCATGAATATTTTAGTAAGCATTTCACTTGTAAAATATGAAGCTATCATTTGACATTGTGTGGCAGACCTCTGGATACTTTAATCATTGAAATTATATTACATGGACTCGCACCTGCAGAAGTACCTGTCGCTAAATTCCTTTTTTTCTGAACAACACAAGTGTCCTTGCTGAAGATTGCAATATAATCACCATATATAATGGCATGTTTTTGAAGAAAACTTTTATTATTCGTGTCGGTTTTATTTAATGTAACATTTTAGAATTTCAATATTCAAAATCTTGACGTGTTAATTTAAGATTGTGCAAAAAAGAAAATACCCGACGAGTGTCAGTTTATGGTTAATGAAATTCGATGTTTTCTTGTGTAAATAATAATTATTTATTGATATATGGAAGGAAAAGTCACCTGTTCAAGCATAAAGTTGACTTTCTATCAATTTTCATTAATACAATTTTAAGTACGTTCAATTCATTCATATTGTGCTCCGATACACCTGCAAAAATAACAAATTCTTAATACATGTATGTCAATTTTTAAAGGTACGATTTTCGACATTTGAAACAATTATTCAATATCGTTAAGATAATTTTGCATTTGATAAAGTTTGGCATAAAGGTCTCTTATCTAAACTAAAAAAAAATATGGTATTAATGGCAACATATTAGGCTGGATTGAGAATTATTTGTGTGATAGACAACAAAAAGTTGTAATTGATGGCTTTTCATCAAACCATGAGACAGTAAATGCTGGTGTTCCCCAGGGTTCTGTTTTGGGACCTTTTCTCTTTCTCCTATACATAAATGATATTTGTGATGATTTAGCAAACAATATACGTCTTTTTGCTGATGACACCTCTTTATATGCTATTGTAGAAAAAGAAGCCACAAATGTAGCACAGTCGCTTACTAGTGATCTAGACCTAATTGATAAATGGTCAAAAAAATGGCTTGTTGACTTTAATCCAAACAAAACTGTAAATGTTGATTTTACCCGCAAAAATATAAAATATCCGCCTATTACATTTGGTCATCATGGCCCATCCATTATTCAAAATGCATCTCATACCCACCTAGGATTACATTTTCAAAGTGATGCTACCTGGACTTCGCATATACAATTAATTCATGAAAAATCTACAAAACGACTAAATATCCTCAGAATGCTTAAGTATAAGATGAAAAGAAAAACACTTATTAAGATATATTTTGCATTTATTAGACCTGTTTTAGAATATTCAGATGTTGTTTGGGACAATTGTTCTGAAAAAGATGCAAAACTTTTAGAAGATATCCAAGTTGAAGCTGGTAGAATTATTACTGGATTAAGATCAAATTCCTCTAGATCAAAATTGTATGATGAATTAGGGTGGGATCTTTTACAAACTAGGAGGAATATTCATAAATTGCTACTATTATATAAAATCATAAATGGCTATTCACCTAAATATTTAACGGACTTGATTGAACCTTTTCGTCCTACAAACCACCCCTATAATCTAAGAAATAATGATGCAGAATTCAAAATTCCTTCTATTAGAACTACATCATATATGGAAAGTTTCTTCCCATCAACTATTAAATTATGGAATGATTTGCCTGATTATATCAGAAATGCCCCTGGAATATCTTCATTTAAAAGTCTTTTAAATTCTTATTATTGTAAAAAAGGTAAAGAAATTTATCATTTTGGAATAAGAAAGTACAATATAATACATTGCCAATTGCGAAATAATGCAAGTAATTTAAAGGCAGACTTATATAACCAATTTTTATCAGAAACACCAATGTGTGAATACTGTATTGACTCTATTGAAGATGCTCATCATTATTTTTTTGCTTGTCCAAAATATAACTCTCCAAGAAATGTACTTTTCCAAACAATTCAAAATATTATTGATTGTGATCAAACTCATGAACTTGATTTACTTTTGTATGGTAGTCCCAATTATGGACTAAATATTAATACTCAAATATTTGAAGCAGTACATGCTTTCATCGCAGCAACCAAACGTTTTATTTGAATTGTAATGTATGTTACTCATGCCAACACTTTATAACCGGTACATGTATTTCATTGTAAATTTTTTTTTTCTCTCTCTCTTTCTACTTTTTTTTTTTCTCTTTTGTCTTTGTTCTTTTGTTTTTGCTACTATGTGTGTCTATTTATTTTTACATCTATATATTGTGTGTTCATTTTGACCTTGTAGGGAGAGGGCTAAAATAGGCTTTGCCTGCTGCCCAATCCCATTCACTTATGTGAATAAAATTTTGTATAAATAAAAAAAAAAAAAAAAGATAATTTTGTTCCTTATATACCTTATCAAACAAAGGGTCTATAAAACAAGTACTAGTATACACTTTTTTTTTTTATTATTATTAATTGGAATAATCAATTCACTACAATATCCTCAGATCTTTATACATTTCTTTTTTCTCATAAACAATTTTTGAAAAATAATTTTAATAAATGTATCCAAATGTTTAAATGATTGGAATTTTTAAAATCTCCAAATATTTTGTTCTTTTTTTTTTTTTGTATTTCGACACCTGTTGTGCGTGTATTGAGACAATTACAGGTGGATTAGACATACCTATAACTCGCCGTAATTATTTTTCAAATCCTAATTTCACCATACGATAGAATATTTATAAATGTTATGTTGAGTCACGGTAATCTAAAATAATTTACAACAGAAAATGGTATGAATACAGGTGATTATGAAAATACTTCTTCGTGCATTCCTGTTTTGAATTGAAAAAGTATATATTTCTCACGGCATCTCTCTCTCTCTCTCTTAAAATACTTTTTGCTGTTGTTCACTTCTATTCTTACCTTTTCCACTTTTTAATGTATTTATTA